GTCCCCCTAATTCAACAGTAGCAGAAATGCCAAAACTACCAGAAAACCAGCAGACACAGTATTAGGGCTTTAAAGGTCAGACCTTCTCAACTTACAACTTAATTTCACATTTAATAACAGGACAAATGTGATTAAGGAAAATCATTTATAAACACTTCAGATCTCTTAACCATTTGCTCTTGAAATGCAAGACCTTAGGGACATACGAAATCGTACACTCCAGAGGGACTATCTCACCTCACCTCACCTACCTTGCTGGACATTTTCAGCGTGTCGATCTCTTCTCTCTGCTTGGATAACGTCTCGTTCATGCTGCACAGGTGGTCACTCATCATACTTAACTGATCCTCATAACTCCTCTTGGTAGTTGTCAGCTCATCCTAAATAACAAAGGAAAAGAGGGACATAAACACAAAGAAATATCAAAACCCCACTATTCTAAAACTTTTTAAATATATATATATAAAATTTGGAAAAGCCTATCAAGATGACCTCTCTGATCAAGTGACATGAAGGTTAAAGCAGAGGCCTAAGAAAGAAGTTAAAGTAATGGGAAAAAAGATTTTCTCAGCCTTCAAAATATATTCTAAATTTCTTTGCAAACATGTAAAGTTTTTTTCTGTGCTATGTACCAAAGTCTTGCAAAAAATCAGAGGGCTAAATGATCTTTCCACATCCCCTCAGGTTTCCCTGAGCCATAACAGAAGGGTGGAAGTCTGTTTCTAGCATAATCCTACATCCCACACCTCAGTGGCCCACCCACACAGCAGCACTATCTCTGGAAGAAGTATGCTTTCAGCTCTCTCTCCCTTCTCTTCTGCTCTCTTCAGCCTCCTAAAATCCAGTCCTGTGCTCCTAGCTGATTCTATAAATTAATCTGAAACAAGGAGGAAGTGCGTAGGGCTGTGCAAATGTTTTTTCTTTGCTCAGTGTCTTAGCCATAGAAATACAAGTGGGTGGCTTTAACAAACAGAAATTTATTTTCTCATAGTTCAGGAGGCTAGAAAGTCCAAAGTCAGGGTGTTGGCTCTAGGAGAAGGCTTTCTCTGTCAGCTATGGAGGAAGGTCCTTGCCTCTTCTGAGCTTCTGCTCCTGGGCCATTTCGTATGGCTTGGCCTCTCTCTTCCTCCCCCGCTGCTTCCTAGCTTACTTGCTTAATCTCTTTTATATCTCACAAGAGACTGACTCAAAATACACCTTACACTAATCCTGCCTCATTAACCTAACAAAGATAGTTCATTCCCAAATGAGATTATAACCACAGACACAGAGGTTAGGATTTACAACACATATTTTGGGGGATTAAATTATTTCAATCCACCCTTTGGCCCCCCAAAATTCATGTCCTTGTTACTTGCAAAACACATTCATCCCATTATGTCATTCCAAAAGTCTTAAATAAACTCCAAGTCCAAAATCTCATCTTTTGAGTCATCTAAATCAAATATGGGTGACCTTTTAGCCATAGTCCATGCTGGGGTAAAATTCCTCTTCATCTTTGAATTTGTTAAATCTAGGATACAAGTCATCTATTTCTAAAATGGTGGAAATAATGGTGGGACAGGCACAAGGTAGATGTTTCCATTACAAATGGGAAAACTTAGAGGTAAATTAGAGGGATAACAGGCATCAAGCAAGTCCAAAACCCACCAGAACAATTTAATTAGAGCTCAAGGCCTGAACATAA